GTGGCTATAGAGTCCCACTCTGGAGTGGCAGTCTCTGTTGCAAATAACGCAGATGAAGGAGGATGGTGCTGCAATTGAGGCTGCCCTGGTCTTCCTTCTGGTTCTCTTTAAGGCCTGCTGGTCATTTCCGTAGTGACGGTCTAATCGTCAACCTGTATTACATCTCTAACTGAAAACAGATATGTTTGAACTATCTAATATATTATTATTATTATTATTATTACTATTATTAAATTATTACTAAATTATTACTAAATTAGTAGTAGTAGTAGTAATAGTAGTAGTAGTAGTAGTAGCAGTACCACTAGTAGTAGTCGTCGTCGTCGTAGTCGTCGTAGTCGTAGTAGTAGTAGTAGTAGTAGTAGTAGTAGTAGTATGTAGATGTCAGTATCTCTATTAATAACCACCGTAAGTTGCTATAGGGTTCAATACTACATGGAATCGCTATTTGTCAATAAGAGTACTGAAGGAGCGACAGTTCCTTGCCACTGCTGGCTGATCGTCTTAAGATCCGCCAGCACCTGTTACGTAGTTCATTTAATTGGAGTACATTTTTGTATGGAATCTCTGTCTGGGCAATTGTTCCACGGTCAGTTAACCTTTTGCCATTTATCAGTGGTTGTCAACTTTGACAAGACCATAAGGACCAGTGTTTCTGAAGATTAGACCGTCACTACATCATTACTAATTATTGAAGAGGATATGCTCGAATAAGCACCTGTTGTGCGCATCAGGACTTAGAACAATGCTTAACTTAACTTAATTGCATGCCATAGCTTTGCTTTAAGCTGGCGCCAATTTTCTCATATTTCGTCTACCAGTATTGTGGCTTATTGCAGCGGGAAGTGTCACGCACAGGATGCTTCAGGAATTAAAATCGACAGATTCCAATATCTCATACACCCTACTATCTCATTGAAAATCGAGTTCAATCAAGCAATTTTGCACGATACTATGTCGTGAGGAGCACTGTCTTTCTTTTAAAAAGAACTTAACGACATGCGTCCATTTCTTCCCTTAGAGTCTTCCGCTGGAACAGTCATATCAGGGCTGAAACCAGTTCTCGTTAAGAGTTCAGTGGTCAAGAGGGTAACGTTTTGATGAAATTTAACACAAAGTCAATATGATAAGCGAGGTAAAGTACTTGCACTTTTTGAATAACATTCCTTATCTACGGTACAGCTAGTATATTAGCATAAAGCATTAATCGGAACAACCTACAAATTAAAGGTCTCTCTATTTACTTCACCCAATCACTAAAGAAAGAAAGACATGAAATTTTTTTATCAGAAATGAAACATCATTGATATTGCTCTCCATGGATGTAATCGGTTGCGTTAAATCCAGAGTGGACGAGACATGGTCAATTTGTGTACATTTTTGACTGTGCTTTGTTCTTTCTTTCAGAAGATATGCACGTCGGAACCAAGGCTTCAAACATTCTCTGTTCACATGATTGACACTGTTACTTTCAAAGTGCAACGCTCTCCACTGAATATGCATCACTTCTAGCCTTTACGTACATATGCACCTGGAGCCGTTCGGGCTTTCGGGAAATGAAATTTCGCTCACACAATTCAACCTCATGGCGATCTGTATACCAAGGAGACTCCATCTTTAGGTCCTCCAAACTCTCGAACTATTTTTGAAGACAGTGATACCAGTAGAAAACATCCCAGCACAATGATGACCAAACTGTACTCTAATAGCAATTCTTGAATTGTGTAGATTGTGTGAGTTCTGGACTGATCAGCAGTAACTGAAGTCATGTCCAAGCGCAGGGGTTGCTCCATAAATGCTCCTGACGCGAATAAGCGCATCTGCCTTCTATGCCGCGTTTGAGTCCGGAAGACAATTTAAGAAGAAGATAACTTAATAAACGCGATAGGAAAACTGCTTTTGGAACCTGTCACTGAAACTGTATACATGCGATCTGATAAGTACGCCTCAGAAAAAGGCGTCAACGCAGACATTCTTACGGTAACATAAGTAGTGAATCTACGCTTTGCCACCGACCGAGACAAATATTAAGACTTGAACCGGTGTAAAAAGTAAAGTTTAAGGCAAAGCAAAATCAGCTGCGTGTCATTTCTAGTACTTCAGGAGATTCGGTTATATTCTATGAGTTTCCAATGCAGCATCCACGAAACTGCAAGAGTCTAGAGTTACGACAGCTGATGGGATCCTTGTAATCTCGGTCTACAAAAAACAGGTTTAGATGACCCGTCTTCAACTCGTTAACTTCCCTGAATTTTGCAATCAGATAACAAGAATATTTTTGATGACCTTTTCAATTGTTCAAGTGATCTGAGGTGGGCCTCAACTCTTTTGCATTCCACTTAATTGCTAACTAATCTTATGCTTGCTAATTATATGGGATAACTTTGTCTCCCTTATCGTTTGTCCTAAAAATGGCATAAGCACCATTTGAAGAAAGAGACGTAAGCCCAAAAAATGCTGTGGTAGTGATTTTTACGATACCAGATTACAGGATTTAGAGGATTTTGTGACAATGAATGGATGATTGCAAAATGAGAGCAAGCTGTGCTTCGTATATGTTGAAGAGATCCGCCATTTCTTTGCAAATAGAACAGGACGTTAGATGCGACCCTGCAAGTTTCAATAAACAATGTCTTACCAACTGTGCGTAATCAAAAAGATAAGAAAAAAATTTCGCCCGCCTTTCCAATTGTTGAAGTTGTTTACCTTGGCCCTTTTGACTCCAACCGTTTGATCAATCTTCTGTAGGCTCTTGGTAACTGTTTATATATCATATCACCTAGTAATCTTTTCCCTTAATGTTTGCCATAAAATGAGACTGATCAAGTTTTACTGCTGGTAAAGAGAACCACCGATGATTCTAACAGAAGCAACACACAGTGGTTTCAGAATACGATGGAACTCACCAAACGAGGACGTGATGGAATCTCTGCAGTTTGCATTTGTCTTGCTGCATGATTGCAGGAGTAATTAGTATCCAAATCTCACTAGCCATCAACTGACGATAAAGGATTATGAATTCTATGCTAACGGCACGGTATTTCATTGAGTGATTTGAACTTAACTGCATAGTTTGCATGACATGTTTGATGCTTAAGCTAGAGCAGGGCCAATATCGACTGTTGATCTTAATATTCCTGAAAAGCCTTATACAACCTGGCGCCAATGCGAGACAAACCAGACACTGGTAAATGATGAGCAAGAAATGGCTGGACCTTGCCAGTTAAAATGTGTTGACATCTCCATACTCCGATCAATTTTTTCTTGTTTATAAATAGTGTTTTCGCATGACGTCATGTCAGCCATGATGGTGTCCCTATACAATGAAACAGCGGCCACGTTGGTGTCCCAAACCTATCTTTTGAAAGTTGAACTCCTTTCTTATGTGAACACATCATCTTTTGCCCCAATAAATTTGTCTGCCTAACCGTAACCCTAACCCCATCTGTGTTTGGTGGGCAAAACTGAAATTATCACATGTCACCAGCAGCGCATAACTCGAAGAATATCACCTTGCCGCGAGAGTGACATAAAGTGTGCTGAAGTGGACGCTCATGTTAAGGCCACCCAATAAAATGTATCGTTTTCCACTCTCCGTTCAAAGCATTTACATGAGAGTACCTTAACTTACAAGAACGTCT